TGGGAAAATTGGACAGTTACATGCAAAAAAATTTAACTAGACCATCAACTTGTACCATACACAAGAATAAACTCAAAATGGATAAAAGACTTAAATGTGACCCGTGAATCCATAAAAGTTCTAGAAGAAAATGTAGGCAACAAAATTTCAGAGATCATACACAGCAGAATTTTCACTGATATATCCTCTAAGGCAAGAGAAACAAAGGAAAGAAAATGAACACATGGGACTACATCAAATTCAAAAGCTTCTGCACAGCAAAAGAAACAACCATGAAAAGAGAATGGCAACCCACTGCATGGGAGAGCATCATTGCCAATGATACATCAGATAAGGGGTTAATTTCCAAAATATATAGGGTGCTCATAGAAGTCAACAAAAGGAAGTCAAAGAACCCAATTAAAAAATGGGCAGAGGAGCTAAATAGACACCTCTCCAAACAGGACATACAAATGGCCAAGAGACATATGAAAAAATGCTCAACATCACTAGTCACGAGAGAGATGCAAATTAAAACAACAATGAGGTATCACCTCACACCAGAATGGCCGCCATCAACAAATCATCAAACAACAAGTGTTGGCGAGGGTGTGGAGAAAAGGGGACTCTAGTACACTGCTGGTGGGAATGCAGACTGGTGCATCCACTATGGAAAACACTATGTTGCTATCTCAAAAAATTAAAAATTGAATTGCCATTTGACCCAGTGATCCCACTTCTAAGAATATACCCGAAGAAGCCTGAAACACCAATCAGAAATAATATATGTACCTCCATGTTCACAGCAGCACTATTTACAATAGCTAAGATCTGGAAACAGCCCAAGTGTCCATCAGTATACAAATGGATAAAAAAGCAATGGTACATATACACAATGGAGTACTGTGCACCTGTAAGAAATAAAGATGTCTTATTCTTTGAGACGATGTGGAGGGACCTGGAGAGTATTATCCTAAGTGAAACAAACCAAGCAGAGAAAGACAAATATCACATGATCTCACTTATTTGTGGAATATAATGAACATAACAGTCTGAGGAGCAGGGTAGACCCAGAGACGTGGAAGAAGGGTACAGACTGACAACCCTCAGAAGAGGGGGTGTGGGCAGAGGGAGGAGATAAACCACAGAGCTTATATGCATGTAGGCATAACTGATGGACATGGACAGCAAAGCTGGGGACAGAGTTGGGGGGATGGGAGGAGTATGTCAATGGGGAAAAAAGGAGAAACATCTGTTACAAAAATAAATTATTAAAAAAAGAATGAACTGTTTGATCCTTGGCTGGTTTGACTCAGAGGTTAAAGCTTTGGCCCACAGACCAATGAGTCATGGGTTTGATTCAGCCCAAGAGCACATACCTCTGTTGCAATTTGTCCCCAGCCCTGGTTCAGGTTGTGCAGGAGGCAGCCACTCGAAATGTCTTTTTCAAATCAATGTTTCTCTCCTTCGCTCTGTCTTATCCTCTCTCTCCCTCCCACTCTATCTGAACAAAAATGGAAAAAATGTCCTCGTGTGAGGATAAAAAAACTGAGATATTTTTTTTTATGTCTGAAAAACATTCTTAATCATTACCTTTGTGTGTCTGCTAGTGTCATAGTTCTGAGTTCTGTGTGAAATATTTTCTTTCACCTTTATTCTTTAGAGATATTTTTTTGTGGGTATAAAATTCTAAAATGACAATTATTTTCTTTCAGCACAATGAAAATGCCATCTCAGTATTTTCTGGATTCTATTCCTTCTGTTGAGATGTCGGCTATATAATTATTGCTTCTTTGCAGATATTTTTTTTTCTGACTGGATATAAGATTTTATCTTTGTCTTTGGTTTCCTATCATTTCACTATATTACCTAGGTATGCATTAAAAAAAAAGAAGGGACCATTTGATTTGGCAACATGGAAGTTGTTAGGGCTTTGATCAGAGAGGTTTTGGTGGAGTGAGTGTTGGAGACAAAACCAAAATTTGTGTGGGTTCATAGATAAATGGGAAGTAAGGAATTGGAGACATCAAAATACAAACTCTTTTGAAGAATTTTCACATAAAGATAAACAGAAAAATAGGCAATAGAGAGAATGGCAGAATTCTAAAGTTGAACCTATGCTCACCCTTTGATCCAACAATTCCACTCTTAGATATATACCCCACAAAATATGCATGTAAATGTGTATCAAAGAAATGTATAGGTATCTTCATAGAAGCATTGTTTAGTATAGCTCCCAAACTATAAACAACCTAAATGTACACCAGCAGTATAATATATAGATAAATTATATTAAATTTCTACAATCAAATACACTAACAATTAAAATTAATAAAATACAGCTACTCACATTAAATCATGAAATCTCACAACGTTGAGTGAAAGAGGGAGACACTGAAAAATACATGTATGTGACATGATTCTAATTCTGTCAAGTCCTCTTGGAAACATAAACTACGGTGTTTAGGGATACATGCATTTTTAGGTGACAAAAATATAAAAATTAAGTTTCTTATGCTGGGTTCTACAATTTTTTTCTTATTTAATTTTCATTACAATATTTTATTTTTGTTTTTAATGTTTTCATCTTTAATCCACCTGGGATATATTTTTGTGCATGTGGTGAGTAGGACTCTATGTTCATTTTCTTCTGATTGGATAGTTCATTTACTTGATTCTTAAGTTAAAAAAATCCTTACAAATATATTACATCCTTAAATAAAAATGCTCATTACTAAACATTGGCTCACCACTATGATTATTTCCCTAAGACAAATTTCAAGCGGTAGATTATTGAGTGATGGTGTATGTAAAATATACAGCTTTTTTTTCTTTTTTGTTTCTATTCTGAAATATACAGCTTTTGATGCTTATTGTAAACAGAAGCAAAAAAAAAAAATGGATGTAGCAATTTACTTTTTCTTTGAATATAAGAATGCCTAGATTCTCAATAAAACTGAGTATTGTAAGTAAACATTTGCCTATTTGATAGGTGGATAACAACTTGTTTTTATTTTATTTATTTTCACCTCATACTAAGGCTGAATGATGTTTATTCTCTACATAGATTGACTTGGTGGATACCCCAAATTTTAAGGCTATGATAACCACCATTTTGACTTTCAGGCTCTTAATTATGAATTATAAACCATTAGGCTTTTTCATTATAAGGAGATTCCTTTTGCACTGCTCAGCTGAAACAGGGTCTATGGTTAGGTCTTATGAAGTAGTAATAATGGAGACCATGATTTAAGGGGAACCCCAAAGCATAGAGATTCTGACTCCGTGTGTTTGTAAGAGTGTGTGTATATGTGGAGATATGTGTCAGAATTTTGCATTTTTAATAAGCACTCCAGATGATTATAATGTAAGGAGCTAACTTTTAAAGAGGTCTGTTATACAATGTTGCAATAATTTTATAGACTGAATTTGGCGAATGACCACTTTCCTATTTCTTTAGAGAAATAGATTATTACCAGTTTTATGCAATTAGAAATAAAATACCTGTGTGTATATATATGTATATAGAGATATATATACACACACATATGCTTTGTAAGACTAAAATATATACACACATACATATCACATATATACACTAGATATACATAATACACATATGTATATATATGTACACTAAAAAGTATACATATTTTATATATGTATATAAATTTATAAATAATATGTTATATATTATGTATATATTAGTCTCACAAATTATTTTTACATATATTTCAGCAGGGGAAGGGATAGAAAGAGATTGCCCTTTTAGATCTGTTTTCTGAATCACTTTGTATAATTTACACTTATACACGAGACTTCTGAACTAGTCCTTAGATTTAGAGCAGCAACCCTGACAACAGCATGATACCTTTTACTCAAACTTCTGTCCCAGTTCAGCTACTAAAATGGACTCACCATTTCTGACTCCTATGGAGAGGAGGTATTCTGGGATTGAAAATGGAGGAGGCTGTTTTGCTAAGAACTCTGTAAAACATTGTGATCCAAGTAATCCTGGAAGAATCCCCACCTGTGTTGTCACTGTAAAGCAGAGAGAGGCTTTATAAAACATAGTAGAGAATTCAACCCACTGGGTAACTCAGTGAGGATTTGGTGCTCAACTGCAGTGCCCCATCAGCAGTGGAGCCAGCAGAGAGCAAAGGGCCCAGCAGACATGGCAGGATCCAACGGAGGACACAGGGGTGGAGCTCACCAGCAGAGGACTGCCACAGAAGCCCCACCTCCCTAATGGACTTGTTCCAGAGTACAGGTTGGGTCATGCCAGGGCCCTCCCTCAGTGGGTTGGGGTCCTGTATGCACAGGAACATGAGCCCACCAACCACAGCTGAGTCCCCTCCTTTCTTCCCCGTAGTTGCCATGTGAGGCAAATGTATTCCCCTTGAAAAGACCAGGCCTTGAGCAAGTGTGACTGTAATAATTGCTAGTTTTATTTCTCTGGCAAAGAGATCCAGAGGTGATTTAAAATTTACATTTCTAGTTCTAAGAGTTTATTAAACATTTCACTGCCCTTCAAAGGTGGTTGACAAGTTCTTTTATTGCATCTGTTTATTTTAGCTTTTTGTGACACAAGTAATACATACATATACACACACATATATATTCATTTTTTTTAATGAGAAGATGCAGATAGGCAAAGAATGAAATAAAGTATAGAACACAAGTCACTCCTAATTGTTTGGTGTATAATAATCCAGACTTTCTTGCCTTATATCATATATAAATGTTCATTATGTGTATATATAATGTTTTGCAATGTATTGTTTTCACTTTACAATATTCAATGAGCATCTTCTCATGCAAATGAATGAAACATCCTATTAAATGAATGAGGTTGGGTCAAAAGATGAGATGTTGGTAACAGGGGTCATATGTAAATCAAAGGAACATTGAAGAATTGGAGTAAAATGGTAGCAAATATTTAACAAGAAAATGCAGACCAAAAGAACCCAGTGGTGGTGATATTAATAACAGAGAACAGTTGAATTCAGGAGAAAAATGCATCAAATGTGATAAGGACAGTCCCGGGAATACCTATGGTTAGAATGCAGAGCCCTGAACTTTTTTCTCAGATTCCTTATCTCTTCCAAACACTTTTCCATCTATCTTTCTCTTTTGTCATTTCTTCATTATTAAAATGTTTATAATCTATGTCCTCTTTAAATTCTTCGAGAGACTGAAGCAGCCTTTGCCTAAAATTCCCTTCAGTTTGCTGGCGTTCAAGTTCTCTGTAGGTGCATTCTTCTCTCTTTGGCATGCTGCACTTGGGTTTCCCTTCATTTTCTTTGCAGGATTTTTGCATGATGTCATTTTTTCCCTGCTTAAATCCAGGGACAAAATGTAGAGTAAGGTTGCTTGTCAGTTTCTCTTTGAAGCTGGATGCTCACCTAATCCTCCACCTCTGCCACACAGGTCCATCTATCCAGCCCTCCACCCCTCAGAGGTTTGAGATTCCCCCCACCTCCTTTCCCCTCCCTCAGCAACCCACCATTTATCCAGCAGACAAGCCTAATGGCCTCTTCGATGGGCAGGAGAAGGGGAGCAGACCAAGAGTGAGCTGTGAGCCTGCAAATTATAACAGTTCTCACCCTTCCCAACTCCCATCCTCAGAGACCCCATCTAAGCATTTCCCTCACACTGACCTGTGACAATTCGGGATAGTTGCCTCCTCTTTTTCTTGCCTAGAGCTATCTGTGAACCCAGATCCTGGGACCTGCAGACAGAAAGGAAGGGGAGGGAAAGAGAGAGCTCTCTGGGGGATTCACCAGCCCCAAAGATAAGATGAATGTTATTATCTTAAATCTGGGATCCTCATAATCATCGTTGCCCAATAGTTCCTACTTCCTTATTTCCCTCCAATCCCTATCCCTTCCTTCTGGATCTCTGTCTCTACTCCTAACCCCCCTAATCTTTGGGCCTAGTTCTTTCAAGGCCCACTGTTCCCTCCCTCCCCACCCTCTCAGACTGGCATTGAATGAAACAAATTCTTTTTTATTTATCTCTAAATTTCTCTGTCTGCACCCCAGAATTCCAGCCATTCTCCACACTCCAGCCCACACCTCATTTCCTTCAATGGAATTGGAGAGAGAAGGATAAGAATAAAGGGAAAGCTTGCCAATCTGAGAGAAACTAATTATTTCTAAACTGGAATTGAATCTCTGGGTGTTGTATTTCAGGAGACTTCCACCTACTTCAGCCTCCAACCCCTACCCCCTTTCCAAAAAAATTACAATTATCTCTAGTGAGCCTGCAGAGGTTTGGGGAAAGCCACTAGATTCAGCTATTACCACCCCGGGGGGGGGGGGGGCTAATGGTTCCCTCACACCAACCTGTTGGGTTTTAAGGAATATATGTCCTTCTCTTGGCCACAAGCACCAATGCCTGCAGGGTAGTAAGGAGCTGGTACCCACAGAAGAAAGAAGCTGGAGAATGTAGGAACTTCACGTCAGCTCTTGGTCACATGAGGATTATGTCATCCTCCAACTCTGGTCCTCATTTTCCCCTCCCACCAGCTGTGCTGCAGAAGTGGAAAGGCTAACCAACCTGCCACCCCCTACCACATCAGGCCCTGTCACTCATTTTTGTCATTGTTAATGCCAGAAGTCAAAAGTGGCCCCTTCTTCCTGTGGATAAAATTTGCCTTTCTCTGATTACCAGAGAAGGGCTGCATCTTCCCATAGTCATATTAATCATTGTTATTGTTTTAGTAGCTGTGTTGACAGAAAGGATTAGTCATCCTCTTCTAAGCCACAAGAACAGAAAGGTAACAGTCTTCCCTCATTTCCTTTGCAGTTGAATTCTTGAAACTGTGGACAAAAAAGCATCACATGCTAACCTGGCAAGCTCAGGGGAGGCATGTATGGCAGCCTTGCAAACTCAGAGACTTAAAGTAACCACATACGATGGTTGGAAATGAAAAAGTTTTAACTAAAAGCGTTCATGATGGGTAGTCACGTCCTAAGGCAGTATTGTTCTCTAACAAAGGTCAATCTTCACTAAGCCTGTCTGTTGTCTTTTTGCATCTAGGATAACATACCTGATAAATTTGGTTTTGCAATAACAAAGTAAGTTCCTTTTTTTCTCCAGTACCACTCAAAGCACAGGCACCACACCAGCTCGGAGACCTGAGACTGAAAATCCCCTCAATATTATTGTTACAATGTTAACTCTCCTGTACCCACCTATGTCAAAGATGTGTGTGTCTATTATTTTACTTTTTATCTAATCCCAGAAGTTTCCAGGCTTTGCTTTCTCCTACCTCCCTAATCTGTCACCAATGGATTTCAATAACCCACTACATCTCCTCCTTTGATTGTAATATATAAAATAAGGTGCAAAACTGTCATTCTTTGGAGTATTTTCTCAATTTATTGAGATTTTGTTTCCTGGCAAGTGTCAGTTTGGCTCAAATAAACTCATAAAAATTCTTACGGTTTTGAACGTTTCTTATGTTGACAAAACAAAATTGGAGCAGATAGGGTAAATTTAAAAAGTCAATGATTAGGCCCTGGCTGATTGGGCTCAGCGGTTAGAGCGTCAGCCCGCTGATTAATGAGTCGCAGGTTCAATTTCGGTCAAGGGTACAGTCAAGGGCACGTACCTGGTTAAGGACACGTACCTTGGTTGCGTACCTGGTTAAGGACACGTACCTTGGTTGCAGCAACCAGTCCATGTGTCTCTCTCACAGTGATGTTTATCTCTCTCTCTCTTTCCCCTCCCTCCCACTCTATCTGAAGATAAATGGAAAAATGTCCTCAGGTGAGGATAAAAAGAAAAAAAGTCAATGATTGGGATTTTGTTTTTCCCTTTTGTTATGATAATTCCTATCCTTTGCCATAAACTTATTATGTTGTTTTAATAATCAGAAATATAATAACAGTAATCAGAAATACAATAAAAATATGTACATTTGGAAAAAAGATTCAAAATGGGAAGATAAAAAAGCCAGCCACTTGTTTCTGCTGCTGAGTCATAAGATAAATATAGACCCTCCAGGCAGACACATTTTTTGGAAGTTTAAAATGTACAGGGCAGCTGGACAGGCTATCATTTTGAAGCACTCCTAGGTATGTGAAAAACTTTTATTAGCTGAGCTACTGAAGCCATAATTCCACAGTACCTTGCCTAGATTTTTCCGATTTCAAAAGTCAGTCATAAAAATTTATTGGTTTGATCTCAGTATCACATCCTCTATCCCAGTTTGTACCATGTCTTTTTATTTCCTTCAATGGTGTAGTCAGAAGATCCTACCTTTCCTCAACACTCTTATTCAAAATCAAATAGTTTTTCATCTTTATCCTATTTATGTTTCCTTAGACTTTATTCAGCTACAATGGAGAATTAGAAGCACTAACAGAAACTGGCCACTTTTAGTCACTTATCACACTAAACTTTTTTTGCTACTAAGGATTCTGATACTAATCTAAGTATATTTGTTGTTGATTTGTTTGCTTGAAACAGATGCAACAGAAAGAGGGACATGTTCTTAAAACTTGTTTTTAAGAAGACTGTGGCTCATTATGAACGTAAAGTTGCCACTAACGAGTTTGATATGAACAGTTCCAGAAAATACTTTAAAAAAAACAAGAGGTCTTAAAAGTAGTAAAGTACTGTTGTCACTTATTGAGGAATGGTTAGTTGTGATAGAGGCAAAAGATTTGTTGGTGGGATGGGGAACTCCAAAATCCTCTGGAAGGATCCAGGTGCTGAAGATTTTGGCACTATTAGTGAAAAGCATGGCTTTGAACAGATCTGAGTTTGAGTTAATTGCATTTTATGTACCTGTTGTTTAACCATGGATCTAAATATTGGATATTAAAATTTTCCAGTGCCTCATCTTTAAAATGTGGCTAATAGTTCAAAATACTTTTTAGGGTTGTCAGGATTAAATGATACAATTTATGTAAACCATTTAGAAAATAACTGATAAATACCAAGTGCTCCAATAAACAATAGGTCTCAATGATTACCTCCTAAGAATCTTAGGAATCCTTCTAGTTCCCATTATGGTTCCATTGCCAATCACCTAATGCAAGGAGCCATAAACTCCTGGACCATTCCAACAACATTTGCCCGTCTCTTTGCTTTTACAGCTTGCCACCTTCAATAGAATAATGATTCCAAACAATAGATATGCTCATATGACTGCCTGCATTATTTTACTTCATTCTTCCACAATCCCACTACATAGGGACATCTTTAGTTGATCTTCTAAACATTTCACAGAACACATCTCCATTTATAAGTAAATGCTTGTACGAAAATACATGCAAATGTAAGCAAAGTAAGATATTGAGTTAGATTTGAGCTGTTTCCATGGTAATGGCTGATGGGACTCATAGGTATGACATAGAGACGTTATGCAGAAAGGTAGGAGATGGGATGTGAAAGTTCACCACTCTACAGTTCTTACATGAATTGGTATAGTAGTACTTGATGATAAATTGTAATAATTTAATAATGCATATCGTAAACTTTAAACATTGAAAATAAAGCAAAGGGTTATAGCTTTATTTAATCAGCCAAAGTGGAAATAGAATATTAAAATATCATCAATTAATTTTTTTTAAAGCAGAGATAGAGGGTACAAAGGAACAATGGGCATAGCAAGATACTAGGTTTAAACTCAATCATGTTAATAATTACAATAAATATTGTTTAAGCACTCCAAGTAAGAGTGAGAGATTGACAGATTGGGTAAAAATTCTAACCACTTATGTGCTTATTATGAGAAACACTTTAGTATAAAGACACAGATTGGTTAATAGTAAAGGAAAGAAAAAAGAAATAGTATGGAAACACTAATCATAAGAAAGTGGGGGTGGTTAGATTAATATAAGCAGAGTAGATTTCAGAACATAAAATATCTATTCATAAATGAATAGATAAATAAGTGATATATACACACACACACACACACACACACACACACAGTGGGATATAATTCAGTCTTAAAAAGGAATGAAATTCTGACATATGATACAACATGTATAAACTTTAAATATATTATGCTAAGCAAAATAAGCGAGGCATAAAAGAAGAAGTATTGTATAATTCCACTTCTATGAGGTACCTAGAGTAGACAAATTCATAGAAACAGAAGTAGAATAATTGTTGCCAAGGGCTGGGGAAAAGGAGGAATGTGGAGTTATTGTTTAATGGATATAGAGTTTTAGTTTGGGAAGATACAGAAAGTTTTATAGATGGATGGTAGTGATGGTTGTATAACAATGTGAATATACTTAATGCCACTGCACTATACACTTAAAATGGTTAAAAAGGTAAACTTTATGTTATATAATA